ATCGCTATTGTTAAAAGATGAAGATGCGTATGGTTGATGAGCATGAATTTCATAATGAGCTATTGACTCATCGAAATTCACTGCTGCTGGAATATTGAGAAGTTCGTCCATTTTTATTGCAACAGCAACCAAAAAATATGTAGATTAATTGTCTTGTTGTCTTATTTTCTTTCCTTGAACTTTTAGACCTAGTTCTTGCAGAAAGAGGCGATTCTGAGGTGTTAACACCTTGTGAGATAAATTTAGACTGATTGGATTCTTGCATGTTGTCTGACTTTTATAGTTTCCACCAACAACAGCTCTTTGATTATAAACGATTCCCATTACAAAGACTTTATATGCAATCGAATTGTTATAGTTTCTCCTCTAAAATTGATTAAATCACCGTCCTGATCGACAATTCGCAGTTGTATATTATGTATTGTCTTGGTGGCAATCGGAAGGTAAATGACGTGTGCAGGCACTTCCACAATCTTATATCCTGGTGGAACGCTGGGGAAGAATTCATGTATAGTGTGAAGTTTTTGGTTATTTATATACGCTCCAGATGTGATATTACACTCAATTCTAACTGAATTAACCTTTAAAATGGCTACAGGTAAATCAGAAATATGTGCTCTATGAGATGATAGTTTCTGTTATGTAAATCCCAACAACTTACCAATCGAATCTTTAGGTTTAAAATCAATTGGTAAATTAGATTCAACAATACTGCGTAATGTATTATTATTAGGTTTTATACTAATAACAGTTCCAGTTTTTACAGAATTTTGTAAATATGATTCAATATCTTTAATTTCATAACTTCCAGTTGGAATATCAATTACTTGATTTCCAACGTAAAACTTGTTATTTCCTTTATCAATATTGGGAATTGAATTAAAAGTCAATAGTTCGACAAGACCAAGTACATAACTTTTATTTGAATTTAGTTCTATTGGAGGGAAATATTCAGCTCCCAGAACTGAAGAATTTCCTGTTAACGTTAAAGTAAACGAATCACTCATGTTGCTGTCAGATTTTATACTGAAAGCTTACAGGTGTTACATAGTCTTATAAAGGTTAAAACAACTCTTAATATTTAGTTGATTACACAAAAATTTGAGACACAAGTGTCCACATACAAATGTATCATAATTTTGATATTTTTTATGATTATATTTTATTAAGCTACCATCACCCAAGTAAATGACAAGATCTGTTGGTGGAGCAAGGTTGACAAAACTATCAAAATACATTATTTTGTTTTTGAATTTTTTATATGCTACCCAATGTGTTCCAGCACCTTCTTTATTATCAAGATTAATTATTCCTGATTCATACTTGTAAGGACCACTTACAGGTAGTTCATTTCGCATAAAAATACCACGAAAATGCGGTATTTTGACAGCTTTGGCATGCTTCCACAGATCAAAGTCAGTTAATGGACGGTGAGGTAGCTTCAAAACAAGTTTTTTGTTTTCCTTCTTGTTGTTCTCTTTTTTCTTAATGCTCGTTTCTTCTTCTTTCTTGATGCTCGTTTTTTAATTCCTTTTCCTTGAATGTAGGGTTTCAAGTGGAGACCAAGTCCTTGTCGATAAGGTTTAAGGTGTAATCCCTTTCCAAGTGATATGGCTTCCATGGATCTATTGTGACGTTGAGCTTCTGCAAGCTGTTCACTAGCTGTTTTAGCCTTATTAACAGCCCTTGCTATTCCTGAAGCTCCTCCAGCAAGAGCTCCTAAAGCACTAAGTCCAGCAAAAATTGGAACTAGCGGTAAAATTCCACCTACTTTAGTAGGTACAGGAAGAATTCTAGGTGATAAAATTTTGGATTTACCACCAACATTTTTTATTGCTTTTCGTGCACCAACTATAGCTGCTCGAATTGATTCTTCAGCATTATTACCAGGAGCCATACTTTTTCGTGCAGCATCAACAATTTTTCTTAGCGCTATTTGCTTCTTCTTACACATTGTTTTACTCTTCTTCTTTATAGATGATTTTCTTTTTCTTCTCATTCCCATGCCTAACTTTGATTTAGCTTTCATGGTTCCGGATATAGCTAAAGCAGCTGCTCTTTCACTTACACCAGAATCTTTAGCTGTAACACGTTCCCAAGCTCTCTTAGCTAATACTTTATCTGCTTCGTTTCTAGCTTGAATATTTTCACGATTTTGCGAATAAGCAATGTCGTGTTGTTTACATGCAGCGTCCAGTGGATTAATTCCTTGGTCACCTCGTGACAAACGCTTAGCCAACTTTGTACCAGGCCCACAAAATTGGTATCCTGGTAAATGTAACTCAAACGGTAAACTATTGATGATACGATTAATTAAACCTTTTCCTTGATAGCGACCTTTTTTCACCTCCTGATGCATAATCATACTTCACTCTACAATGGTTGACGTGAAACTGACAAATTGACTATAAAAGCTGGGTATTTATAGATTTTCAAGCAGTTACTGTCAAGATGCAGTTCACGAAACAACCTGTCGCACTGCCAATCTCTAGTATAGATGTTGAAACTAATGAAAAAAAGATTAAACGTCATGGTAGTCTGTTTTCAGACAGCATTCGAGCAGTTTTCTGTGGCCCCTCAAATTGTGGTAAAACAAATGCTCTTCTTTCCCTAATAATACATCCAAATGGTCTAAGTTTTGAAAATATTTACCTCTACTCTAAATCTCTACAGCAACCGAAATATAAATTTTTAGAAAATGTAATCAGTCAGGTAGATGGTGTTGAGTATTTTCCATTTAGTGAACATGAAGAAGTAGTATCTCCAAAAGATGCTAAAGCAAATTCAATATTCGTTTTTGATGACATTGCTTGTGAAAAGCAAGATAATGTTAGAGCTTTCTTTTGTATGGGCAGACATGTAAACGTTGACAGTTTCTATTTATGTCAAACGTATGCTCGTATTCCTAAACATCTAGTTCGAGATAATGTTAATTTATTGGTTCTATTTAGACAAGATGAAAAGAATCTGAAACATGTATACGAAGATCATGTTAATACAGATATGAGTTATACTCAATTTCGCGATTTATGTTCAGAATGTTGGAAATCTGACAAATATGGATTTGTTGTTATTGATAAGGACCGTAATTTTAATGAAGGAAGATATAGAAGAGGATTTGATTGCTTCATTTCACTATAAATACAAGAAGTTCATTGAATTTTTCATTAGTATAGTTTATCTTGTCTCGAAGAAAACATGTATCGAAAAGAGCAAGAAACGCTTCGTCAAATAGCAAAAGCAAGTGATGCTATTAGGCGGAAACATCGTTTACTCAAAATGGGTAAAGAGGCTGCAGAAACAGTATTGAAAGAAACTTTTCAACCAATAGTAACACCCCTGGAAAAGCTGGTGAACATAACTGACATACCTTTCAAAAATATTAAAAAAGAAAAAGTTAAAAAGGAGGAAAATGATTTTTCTTTCTCAACTGCTGTTGATGAGGAAGAGGAATTTGATAAAACACTACTCAATGACAGTCTATTTGATAAGAGCAACAAGTTTGAAGAAGGAGAAGAACTTAATTATGAAAATTTGACAAATAAATTTATTCAATTATTGAATAAAAATAGGAAAAGTTTTTTAGATATGGTTTATGGAGTACGTAAGCTTCCTAATGGTTCTTTTATTATTGGTGATACACCAGTTGATTTAGAAGGTTCACATATTCAACTTGCTGGAAAGAAAAAATATTTAAAAACTGCTAGGTTGCTTGAACTTTTATTTCGACAAGAACCTAATCCTGCATTAATAAGTTCAGATGATTTGGAAAATTATAAAGAAATTCTTGTAGCTACAAATGCACACCGAAAAAATTATAGTTCCAGTGGACTTGTCAACGTAACCAGGAGTTCTAAATACACTGTTGTCATTTCAAAACTTTTTAAGGGTACGCCAAAAAAGGGTAGTGGTGTTTTGAAGAAGAAGAAGAAGCTTGGAAAGAAATTACCTCAATTTATGATTTCAAAGAAACAATTTAACCCAGACTACATCTATTGGGATGATCCCAATGAACTAGTTGACCGTTTACGTCTGCTTGTAGCATCACAGCAAGCTGGTAATCCAAGCCATAATAATGAAATTATGTCAATCATCGAAGAACTACGTGAAGCTCGCATTATATATTAGGAGAGTACAAGCAAATAAAGCTTAGTATTAAAATGAGCATTGATGTGTTTGGACATCCCTTGTCACGGCCTCTTGCAAGTCGTGGACTTCCTGGACCTTCTGGAATTGGTTTTAAAATTACTCAAAGTGAACAATACGACATTGATAACAAAAGACTTTGCAACGTTCAAGACGCTGAAGAGCAACAAGACGCTGTAAATTTAAGACTTGCACAGAAAATTATTAAAAACGAGATAAAAACAGTTTTTCAAATTACATCTTCTTTAAGATCAGCTATTGATGATTTGAATCTTTATATCCGAATTATCGAGGATAGGGTGAACGAAAAACTTAAAGAAATTGAATCACAGCAAAATTACATTATCAAAGAGGCTAAATTTATTCACAGTGATGGCTGATCAAAAAATTAACAGTTGTAACTGAACTGCATAAACAAGCTAGAAAAAATTATCCTCGTCGAAAAGTTCAAATGCGTGGCATCGATGAAACCTGGCAAGCAGATTTGGTTGAAATGATACCTTATTCTTATTCTAATAAAGGTTTCAAATACATGCTCACAGTTATAGACATTTTTTCCAAATATGCCTGGGCTGTAGCTGTAAAGAGTAAGAATGGAAAGGATATTTCTTTGGCCATGAAAACTATTCTCAACAAGGCCGAATTCCAAAAAATTTGCATACTGATAGAGGAAAAGAATTTTACAATTCTGAATTTAAGAGTTTAATGCAAGAATTTAACATTAATCTCTATTCTACATATAGTAATTTGAAAGCCTAAATTGTTGAAAGATTTAACCGCACTCTAAAAAACATGATGTGGCCTGAATTCAGCTTGCAAGGCAATTATAATGGATTAATCTTTTACCAACTCTCATGACAAAGTACAATAATAAAAAGCATCGTACTATTGGTATGAAACCCAAAGATGTCACCGTAGAAGATACAAGAGAACTGCTGAGACGTATCCGTAAACTACGTAGAATTCCGCTGAAAAGATCAAAATTCAAAGTTGGAGACAGAGTTCGAGTTAGCAAGTTTAAAATATCTTTGAAAAAGGATATACTCCCAACTGGACAACGGAAGTATTCACCGTGGATAAAGTTAAATCAACAAAACCAGTTACATACAAGCTGAAAGATTACCAAAATCAACCCATCGAAGATGGTTTCTACGAAGAAGAATTGCTGAAAGTCCAATATCCAGATGTTTACCTCGTAGAAAAAGTTCTCAAGACTCGTGGTAATGATGTATACGTGAAATGGCTTGGATTCGATAGCTCACATAATAGTTGGATAAAAAAATCTGATATGTAATATAGTTAAAGTAACGTTAAAGTAATGTTAAAGTAACGTTAAAGTATAGTTAAAGTAATGTTAACGAATGTTAAAGTAACGTTAAAATAAGTTAAAGTAAAGTTAAAATAAGTTAAAATTTAGTTAAAATAAGTTAAAATAAGTTACAATTTAGTTAAAATAAGTTAAAATAAGTTAAAGTAAAGTTAAAATAAGTTAAATAAGTTAAAATATAGTTAAAATAAGTTAATGTAAATAGGTTAAGGTTTTTTCTAATAAAGTAGACATAAAATAAATTGAACATCTTTTTATTCAAACAACCATTTCTTTCTCCTTTCTGTAACAAATCTTTTTACATAAGTTTATTTTCATCGTCGTCGTCAATTTCAATAATTTTACAATGACCCCATGCGAGGGTGTCGGTGCTTTTTTCTATCAAGTATCTCTTGTCGTCATAAGGACTTAGTGCAATTTTTGTTTGTTTCAAAGTTTGTACTTTGTGAAGATTCGACCTAATTGAATATTGCGTTCTAGATTGCATTTTAATATTTCGAAGACAATAAACATAATCATCAAAGTCGATATTTTTCTTAACAACTTCTGCTTTGACACTTTAGCCTTTTTTTATTAAATCTTTCCCTTCTACACGGACGCTGTATATTTTGCTCCGCAAGCCAACAAATTCTGTTACAATTTTTCCATTGCATTCATCCTTCATGAGACCTAATATCTTTTTGTTGGCTTGCGGAATATTGTACACGTTATTAACCGGATAATCAGAAGTGTCGAATTTCATAATGTCTTGTTTCATATCGGCGTAAATGTCTGAGCACTTGATTTCATAAATCAGACTATCGGTGTCGGTGTACAATAATTTCAATTTTTTTTTCATCATACTTGTTCAACATATAATCATAATGGAAGTCGTAAGATCAAAGTTTTTGACACATCCAAACAGTCAAGCCAACCATACACCGGCTTGTTCATTAGTACCTCCAGTTTCCTAAGCGCCACAGCAACCAAATTCTCATTAAAGATGGCTCTGCTGTGGAAGTTAGGCATCTATGTAATCGCTTC